CCGAATGTCCCTCCCGGGCCTGCTATCCCAATGCAGGGGAGGGACGGGGACCTCCATCTAGTGAAATGACCCAAGAGACGGCCCCTGTGCCTCCAGGGCAAGGCAACCCAGCTTCCCAGAGGCCCTGGGCTGGACTTGACAGTTATTTCGGCCCGGCCTCCTGCCCCTGCCTCAGAGACAATCAGCTCTCTGCTGTTGAGCTGGTGGGAAGTATCCTCAAGCAGACTCTCCCTGCACAGGAGGGCCTCGCCCCAGGGGTCTAATTACCAGGAGTTGGTGCCCCCACCCCCCAGCCAGGACGCCTGTCCTGGGTCTGCAGCAGTTGCCTAATTGTGAATGTAATCAGCTGCTCCGCACCCTTAAAATTAGCAAGTGGCTAATTGTGCCTGTAATTATCACCTGCACCCATAATTAACTGTGTGAGCGATTTTCTGTTATCAAGTCATTGTGGATGCAAATTTGTGCCCAAGAAAAGACGCGGGAGGGGTAGTGGGGGGACGTGGAAGAACCAGCTCTGCCTGGGGCAGGGGGCAGGGGGCTGGGAGCCTGGACTACAGGGGGGACCTGGCTTGGGGCTCGGGTCTGTGCCACTTATTAGTGGTGTGAGCTGCGTGGCTGCTCAGCCTGTCTGAACTCAGTCTCCCTGAGGAGGGCAGAGGGTCAGCCGGTCCAGCCCGGTTGGGCTTGGGTGTGTGGCCTCTGCCAGCCGGTGCCGCACGCGGGGGCTCCGCTGTGTGGCTTTATGACCAGCAAGGCGCGAGCCACTGCTGGGGCTCCTCTAGCTCAGACTCAGGCCAGTGGTCAAGGGCAGGCTGGGTCACGGTGACCAGGCTGGGCCAATCAGAGAGTTTCTGAGGACCGCCAAGTCTGGCGGGCTGGACCCACTTGTCTTCAGGTTTGTGGCCTGGGGTCTGCGACTGGTCCGGTGCTGCCTTCCTGCCAGGTGGAAGAACCGCTACAGGGGCAGGAGGCAGGACCGCGAGACGCAGAGGGCGTGAGAAGCCTGAACTGGAACCCGGCCTTTGGTGGCGCTGCGAAGGAACAATTGCCAAGGGAGGAGCGGAGCGCGTCCTGTGCAGCGTTCGTTGGCTTGATTTATAACTTCTAAGAACTTTGGAATATTTAGACATATGGCCCGTGGGCCTTCATTTGTCCACTTTCCCTGGGCCTCACAGTCGTGAGGAGCGGGCCTGCTTTTGTTCATGTCTGTGCTCCCAGAGCCCAGAACGGTGCCTGGGGGACACAGCAGGAGCTCAAGAAACACTTGCTGAACCAAGGAGCCCCACTGTCGACACCAAACCCCCAAGTGCATACACCTGCTGTGCCCGAGCACCGTCAGCTTCTCGAATGTGGAGAAGAACAACCCAGGTTGAGGCCGGCTATTTAAAAGGGGGACTTTATTTACTCCTGTGGAGCAGCACGCCAGTGCCCCGCCGCCGCTCCAGGCCACAACTCCGCACAGCTGCTGCTCAGTTTGGAGCCAAGACTGCCTGGCACTCAAAACACATTGAAAACATCGACGCTCTTCCCTTTTTTTCCTTTTTTTTTTTTTTTTGGTACAAAATGATACAAACAACAATACAAAATAGTTGTGCTGTTGACGATTACAAAAGAAGTTGGAACGTTTGTCTAACTGTGCGATGCTCAGAGTTGCAGTGTGAATATGTCATACTCCAGTATCTTTCCCCAAAACAACCACAGTCATGCGGGCTGCTACACATTTTGTCCATTTTCAAAAAGAAACATGCAAAAAAAAAAATCAGAATGGAAAGAGGAGAGACAGGAAAAGCAAAAGGTGTTCCCATTATACACAGAGGGGCTCCCCTCTGGTCCGTGGCTCGAGCATACCTGTTCTCTGTACACCACGTCGCTGCGAGCGAGTGCACACGTGCTCTGTGTGCGGGAGACTTTGTCTTTTTGGAGTTATTCCTTTTAGCACTGACAAAAATTGAGACTCCCCTCCCCCGACTTTCTACCTTGGAGAGAACAGAGTTGTCATCTCGAAGGACTGTGTCGGCCAGTGCTCACTCTGGGGAAACTGAGGCACCTCTGAGGCCTGACGCTTGGCCGTTCCCCCGACACTGTGGTGGTGGGAGGCCTGCGCTTTGGATGTGCTGAAAGATACGAGCAGGAGAAGACCTGCTTGGCCAGGAGGTGGGGGTGCCAAGGCCCTGACAGACATGGCGGCCCTCGGCTGGGGTGCCCGCCGACCTGGCCCACGGCCTTCTTGCACTCCACCCTACAGCGCAGGTTTCTCTGTTCACAGAACAAAATTCCCTAAAGAATCTAAGCCGTGCCCGAGCACTCTGCCAGCGCTGAGTCTGGGCCTTTGCGGCTGGGTCCCCTGGTCACGGACGTGTCGTATTTACAAGCTACGTAAGAAAGACGTTTGACACCGATTGTACGCTTAGCTAACGCTAACTCATTGGCCTCGGAGCAGAGTTCCAAGATGGATCTGGGAGGGTGTGGGGACCCCATCTTTCTCTGGCCCCAAGGGCTGCCTGGGGTGGGAGTGAGAGGGGGCAGCTGTCCAGTTGTTTGGAATAGGGATGGGCACAAGAAGTCCCCCATCGATGTCCCCCCAGCTGATTGCCACAAGCTTGCACAATTTAGGCAAAATGCAACGGGGCATTGGCAGTGACGAGAGGCAAAGGGAGAGGGGAGAGGAGCCAAGGGAGAAGAGCTGAGGGAGGCGGGGAGGCAGACATGTGCGTCCGGCTCTCCCGGGTGGAGGGAGGCAGAGGGCTCCTGGTCACACAAGGGGATGGCGGGATTGGTGTTCAGGATGCCGAGTCCTAGGCTGGGCCTGGCACATCCGTCCCTGAGGTGAGCCCAGGGCCCGGGGGACCCAAGGAGGCCTCGGGATTTCAGAGAGAAGAGTCCACAGCTGCCTCAGCTCCTGGACCATATTCACACTTAGAACTTCGACTGGAGGATGAACTTTCCAAAAAAAAACAAAAACAGAAGATTCTAGCTCACATCCCACCAGCCCTGATCCCATCAGCAATCCCTCAGATGGCCGCACCCCCAGACACTGGGACAATGCTCAATGGCTTCCTGACCCCAAACGATTTGCATAGCACGGCTTCAGAATGGGGGTCGTGGTCCCCTTCCCTTGACAGGCCACCCCCCTGACATCTGTGAGATGGCAGTCTGCACGGGGGGGAGCATCCAGCACGTGACCCGGGTGACCTCCCCCCCATCCATCCTTCCTTCACTCCCCAGGCAGTCCTGGATGGGGTTAGGGTGGACAGAACCCTCCACAGGCCACACGCCAGAGCCTGTCACCCCAGCTCAGCTCTGGGAGATGGACGCGGTTGGTGATGAGTTTGGTTTGGGGAAGAACCCTGATGTCCAACAGGGACACACCCATGTGATTCGCACACACTCATGTCCACTCAAGTTCATCTTCGAGGCCAAAGCTTTTTAGAAAAGAGGATGACCGTAGCAAGAGGGACAGGCCATAGGCTGAGGACTGGATCAAAGACCCCCAGATGGAGACATGGAGAGCATGCTGCACCCCAGCACCCCCACCCCGACCTCCCCTAAGCCCTCTCGAGGCCTCCCCTGACGCCCGGAGCAGGTGTGGGGTGGGGGTCCAGGGCGGGGCCCCAAGGCAAGCCAGCCTCCTTGTCCTTCGTCATCGCTGGAACTCCTCTCCCCCAAGGGGGCTCTGATGCCAGTCCTGCCCAGGCCCCCTCACCTGCTTCCTTGGGGAGCCCAAGAGCAGACGAGGATTTCCCCACGAGGGTGCCTGCCTCCTACCCTGGCCTGAGGAGACTTCACGCCCAGAAACGACTGTCCCGGGGAGACAGCCCAGGGAGAGAAATGCACCAGGCACCTTTTCTCACCCAGTGAGCAGAGGCAGCAGGGTCTCCCCTGTGGGTTCTTGGGACACAGCCCCTTTTGCTGTCCTATGGAACTGACCCTCCGGTGTCTGGCTAGAGAGTCATACTGCCCGTCGAAAGGGCAATTCCAGGTCTGAGAGTCTGAGCAGCTAACCTGCCTGGCAGCTGCTTGGTGCTGATGTGGGTCCAAAGGAGAGGAGACGGGCTGTTGTTTCTGGCAGGTGGGGTGCAGACACATCTGTGGGAAAGACGGCGCAGCAATGCTGGGGCTCTCCCTGCCATTCAGAGCAGATCTGTGCCATCCACATCAGTTCACAAGCGTCAGAAACTCTGGTGCAGAGGGGCAGGGCAGGCGAAGGGGCTGCCAGAGTCCCCTGCTGATGGCGCTGGGTTCCACGCCTCCTGGAACCGCGAGCGAGGTGCACCTCTCCCCGTGGTCTGCACAGCCCCCGGGGGTGGCCGGAGGCATCCAGAGTGCTCAGAGATTTGGACTGGTGCGTGTTCGTGTTTGCTGGGCCTTTGACGGGGTCCCTCAGGAGTCAGATGGCGAGAAGTGGAGGGCTCATGCCAACATTAGGTGAGACACTGGCTGTTTTGGGCTGTGCCTTCTTGGGACACCATACTCTCCTGGACCAAAGACGATGAGGACCTGGGTGGCATTCGGGGTGACAGTTGGCCCTGGGGGAGGCCTAATGGTTAACTGGGGGGGTCTGGGGGATGACCAAGGGCAGAGATGGGGAGCATCAGGGACAGCCCCTGGGAACCCCACCTGCCCCAGCTATTTACAGCATCTGGGAGTCCGGGGTGTCCAAAGACAGCCACATTCACACAGTCGCGCCTTTGGTCAACGGTTCGGCCCGCCCCAGGAGAACCTTCTGCTGCTGGAGCCGCAGGCTGGGCCTCCCCGCCTCCAGCTGGCCTTGGGAACCTCCAAGGGTCCCAGGAGACCCTGACTGTGTACAGCAAAGTGTGAGGGCTCAGAAAGGCTGTGGGGATTTGGACCCCAAACTACAGTTTCCTTGTAAATTTTGTCAAGCGAGTCACCCACTTATTTTCTTAATAAAAGACAAAAAGAAAAAGACACATTCTCGCCAATTCCTTAACTGGTGCCTTCAGAGCCGGGACTGGCTGGCGTGGGGGTGCTCGGGACCGGGGCTGGGGACTTGGTCTATCTGCTTTTGCTTGTAGTCACTCCTGAGTTTGAGGGAATCTGATACGTGTACCAAAAGGCACTTTCATTTTTTTTTTTTTTTTTAAAAACAGTGCTTCTGTTCTAAGAAATTCAAGTTAAGACAGAGTGCCTCTCGCTCCCCTTTACTGCTAACTCAGCTACTGTGGTGGGCGGGGCGCCGCGGGGCGAGAAGTGTTCATGCCAGACAGCTCAATGTTGGGGGGCTGGGGCGGGGAGGGACCCCTGACACACCACTAATGACACGTCCGCAGGAAGCTGGGAAGACCAGCTGCCTCCCACAGTCCTGCTCCTCCGGCGTCCGTCCGAGTGCTGTTCTCGTTTTGGTCCGAGGAGGGGGCCGGTTAGTCCTCCTCACCGCCTCCGTACATGTCTGCCAGCTTCTTGAACCTGGGCCCCCAGTCATTCAGGTAATCGTAGTCTTGGTCCCCGGAGCTGGACGAGTTCAGCGAGCTGACGGAGCCCGCGGTGGAGCCGCTCCCCTCGTAGTCGAAGACCAGCAATGAGTCGTAGGGGGGTGCTGTGGGGTCATTGTCGGCCGCCCGGAGTCCCTGGGGGTCACGAAGACATGGGTTAGGGCGGAAGGTGTGCTGCCTCAGTCCTGGGGGCCTGACAGAACAGAAAGGGGGAGCCGAGGAGAGGAGCTGGGGAGGTAGGCCAGGGAGGCAAAGCTATAGGGCCTTGCATACAGTAGGTGCTCAGTAAGTGCTCCCTGCGTTTGACCTCAGTGCCTCTCAGAGAACGGAGCAGGGAAGGGTGTTGATGAAAATAAACTGTGGAAGAGGGTTGGAGGGAGCAAACTCAAATGCCAGCATGGCCACACGAGTCACATGAGGCAAGAGGGCTGGGCGGGGCCTGTGGCCAGTCAGCCCCTCCTACGCGGGCAGGTGGTGCTCAATTCCAGGATCAGTGCCACCCGGAATGTGAACCTGAGCTGTCAGAAGTCAGAATCTGTTGTCATGTCAACTATTCCCATGAAGAGCACTCAGCAATGCAGCAGGCGTTGCTGGCGCCCCCCACCCACCCCAGTGCCCTGCCCTCCCTCCCTCAGTGCGCTGGGTCACAGAGAGGTCCCCATGCCCCCAGCACTGCTCCACGTGTGGCCCGCCGAGGGTGCCTCTGGGAGCAGCCCCCACCAGTGACTGTGGGAGTGCTGGATACACACCCGCTCCCTTGCCCGTGGGCAGGACCTCTCTGAGGTGGGGCTCTATGTTGTCACCAGGAGGTCCCCATCAGGATGGCCCAGGTGCCCATGGTGGCCACTGGTTGCATGACGCACCTCCCTGCCCTGCGAGGGGGTACCCTTACCATCATTCAGTTCCCAATGGCTTGTAGTTTCCGTTTTTACTTTCCTCAAAGAGTTATTGAAAAGTGGGCTTTTAATTATAGACGGAGGAGGATGTACTTTTTGGAGTTTTAAACATTTTATTACATCATAGACGGTAAATGTTGCCTAAGCCGAATCAGCTTTTGGGCAGTTGTAGGATATCATTTGCAGCCTGGGACAGGCTCTGTTTTGGGAAATGTTCTGAGAACTCTTTTTGTATCTCCGCTGAACCACTCCTGGGTTCTATTCGGTCTACAAACATTCTTTTAGAGTCAGATTCTGACACAGGTGGAGATAGAAGCGACGCCAACCCCTCTTAAAGTACAGTCGGTGCTAGAGACCAGGTGCTCAACACTGCAGGGACCCATGCCAGCCACAAAGGGGATCGAGGACGTGACCGTGTGTGGGAGCTGATGGGCGAGGCATGCGTGGAGCCGTGCACCTGTCAGTCCAGCGTTTCTCTGGCTAAGCTGCAAGAGGTGTTTCAGCTTTTCTTGTACAGGGGGATGGTCAAAGGTCAAAGGCTGGGGACGTTGTTTGTTGGGACTTTGATGTTGAGTCGCCCCCAGACCCCAAACGTCAGGATGGGTGCTGTGGGCATGTGGTCAGGTGGCAGCTCGTGAAGGATGTCTAGTGCTTGGGCAGTTCCCAGGGCACTGGGTGTGTGTGTGGGGTAGCCTGGGCTGGGTCTGATCCGGGTACGTCACAGGCCTGTCGGCATCGGGGGTCGAATGGAGACTGGGAGGGCCCCTCCCAATGGCCACAGAACAGAGCGAGAGTAGACCCTGAGGCCCCTGAGTGCCGCGCTGGCGCCGCCTCTGCGGGTCATCCTCCTGAAGACAGTCCTCCTGCTACCCCGCTGTTCCCGCCACGACTGCAGCCTGAAGTCCCCCGAGTTCTTATGCAGCGTGTGCTGTGTGCTGGCCCTGTCTGTTACTCCTCGCCGGGTGCTGGAGCAGGGTTAGTCCTGTCACAGGGCATGAGGCTGAGGGCAGGCGCTTGGCCCCAGGCCTCGAAGCTGGCAGGGGCGGGGTCGGGCCTGAGCCCAGGTCTGCATCTGCCCCTCACCCTCACACCGCCGTCCCAGCGCGGTGGGAACAGCTTTTATTTGTGCGTGTGAATAGGGTGTCACTTTTAGCGGGGACGCCCTGCTTGGGGGCCCTCCCCAATGCCCGGAGCACCCACCTCGTTGATGAAGTCGCCGATGTCTCCCGGGTGGGGCACCACAGGCCTGACCGGGTACTGGGCCTCGGCGCCCACGGGCCGCTCGTCCACCCGGCGCACTCCGGGGGCCTTGCTCAGCACATGCTCCATGGTCTCTGGCTGCTGCAGTTGGCTGAGGTCGTAGTCCTGGGCGGGGACGGGCAGAGTCAGGGGAGGAAGTATGGGGTGGGGGGCAGCAGGCAAGGGTGCACCCTCGTCCTGTTGTGTGACCCGGCTCTGAGCACGCCCGCTGTCCTATTCTGTCACCTGGCCCCCGAGCCTGCCCGCTGTCCTAGCCCATCACCTGGTCACTGAGTGAACTGCTGCCCTATTCCCTCACCTAGCCTGCCCTTCCCGAAATGCCCACCTCCCCTCTGATTGTCCAGATCCTGCCCGTCCTCAAGGCACGTGTGGGGTCTGTGCTCCCCAGGCTGCCTTTGCCGGCCTGACGCTCCCCCAGGGTGGCCCCCACTGCCCCCACTGCTCAGCCCCCACACACATTCCTCACTAAGCTTTAGTGGGGTAAGGACTTGCCCGAGTCACTCAATGGCCAACGGCGGACCCTGAGGCCCACCAGGCAGCTCCCTGGGGTCCACCCTCCCGGGCGCCCCATGCACTGCCTCCTGGTCCCCGGCCCCCGGTTGGGAGTGTCCTCCGGACACCACCACCTCCCCCGACCCCTGAAGGGAGGGAACAGGGTGAGGGGAGCCGGAGCCTGGGAGGGAGGAGTTCACACTGGTCCCTGCGTGGAGGAGGCTGGTGCCCTGTGCACGCCCAGACCTGAAAGTGCAAACACGGGCAGGAGGACAGGGCTGGGAAGAGAGGTCCCCCGCCCGTCTCTGCTGTCCTGACCAGAGCACCGGCCACCTTCACACTGTGAAAAAGGACAAAACGTCTTCCTGCTGAAACCCAAGAGGGAGCCCTGGTGGAGGCAGTGTTCGAGGGTGTCTGGGCGGCCGTGGGTCTCACCTGGTCCTCCTCGCCGCCCCCTTCCTCGTCGTACTTGAGAATGTTGTCCCGCACGTCGTCCTCGGGGTCGATGAGCAGCTGCTTTGTGTGGCGCTCCTTCTCCCGCCGCTTCATCCACACAACAAACAGCAGGACCATGGCTGTGGGGGCATGGGGCTGCACCGTGAGCAGGGTGCGCATGGTGTGCACACGCACCTGTGTGCCATGTGTGTCTGTGTGAGCACGTATATGCATGTGTGTGCCACGTGTGGCTGTGTGAGCATGTATATGCATGTTGTGCCATGCACCTGTGTGAGAGCATGCACATGCATGTGTGTGCATGTCCATGTGTGGGAATGTCCTCCCTTGGGCATATGGAGAGCTCATGTGCGTGTGCACAAGTGCGTGCATTGATGTGCACGTCCATGTGTGTATATGCACGTGTGCATGTCTGTGTGGAATGTCCTCCCTTGTGCGTATGGAGAGCTCATGTGTGTGTGCACAAGTGCAGGCATGCGTGTGCACGTTCATGTGTGTATATGCACCCGTGCATGTCTATGTGTGGGAATGTCCTCCTTTGTGCATATGGATAGCTTATGTGCGTGTGCACATCCATGTGTGTATATGCATGTGTGCATGCCTGTGTGGAATGTCCTCCTTTGTGCATATGGAGAGCTCATGTGCGTGTGCACGAGTGCATGCATGTGTGTACATGTCCATGTGTGTATATGC